CCGATCACGAGCCTGCTGGGGAAACTGCCCCGCGCGGGCGAAGGGAGAGTGGGCGAACCCCTCGGGGCTGGGGACCGCGCGGTCCGGCGCTCGCAGGGACGCTGCCGGCGCGGAGCAAACGCGGCCCCGCCGGGGTACCTGGGCAGCAGCGAGGAGGGGAAGACGAGGCGCAGCTTGTTGTGCAGCTCCTGGAACTCCTCGAAGGTGCGCTGCACGAAGGCCACCTCGCCCGGGCTCTCCCGCTGCACCTTCACCACGTAGGTCTGCAGGGAGACACGGCTGTAACGCGGGCCAGCGGCCCCGGGCAAGGACGCAGCTCTGGGTTTAGCAGTGCTAAGGGACAGGGCAGCAGGGCAGAACCGTCCTAGGCTGGAGACTGAGTCGTCCCTTTGCTATTATTTGCAATCCAGGGCAGGGACCAGCTCTTAGAGGAGGAATGACAGGAATAGGGAGGGAGAAATTAAATTAAGACCTCCTTGGAGACGTGGCAGGCACATCTGCTTCTAATTATACTGACGAGAGACTCTCCCCTGGCAGCACCAGAGCTGCTCTCAATAGGCGCCCCATTCCCCAGCCGCCCAGGACGGCTCGGCTGCCTGCTGCCCCCAGGTAGCCTCCACCCTCCCCACTCACGTAACCCTTGCTGGGGTTGAAGACTCTCTCGTGGCGGCACAGGAAGACGTCGCGGATCCGGCCTGATGTCTTGATGGTGTACGTGCGGGGGGCAAAGGAGAGGGTCGGGCGGGCATCAGAGCCTGTGAACTTCATCTGCGCCAGGTTGTGGATGAAGAAGTTGAGCTTAGTGGCCACGCTGCCCAGGCTGGACTCGATTAACCTGTGACGAAGGCCACGCACTCAGCACGGAGGGGTCCATCCACTCTCGGTGCTGCAGCGCTGGGTGATGGAGCCTGGCTTCAGGCTGGGAAGGAGACAGTGCCCGTGTCTCCAACCGAGGGCTCTCCGCTCCCACTGTCCTGTCCTACCCCATCTCAGCCAGCACGCCCATGACCTTTACCTGGTGAAGTAAGTGGTGGCGTCAGCTTCAGAGTCCTGCGGCCTCAGGGCATCATAGACATACTTAAGGTCCTCCAGGTCGGAGAGCTCGGGGATGCCGCAGGACAGCATCTGGGGAGCAGAGCAACCCAGTGAGGACAGACAAAGCTGGGGCTTGTGGTGGGAGGAGAACCACCAGCCCTTGGGGGACCCCATCTTCGAGCTGTCCCTGCCGCACTGTGGAGGGGCGCACAAGCCGCCCGCGGCCCCCCGGCTCTCACCAGCCCCAGCAGGTTGAGGAAAAGGTGGGTGTGCTTGCGGATGAGGTTGTACGCCTGGCAGCACAGGTCAACAAAGTCATGGAAGCGGCTGGAGGGCTTGTCCCCACCGTTAATGACATATGCCATGTCTGAAGTGAAGACGAACGGGGCCCGGTCCCTGCGCGGGGGAAAGATGCACAGAAAGTGCCACATTAGCATGGCTAGGGTCACCTACCGCTGGGGCCATGGCATGACAGCACCAAGGAGAGGGGTTTCACCTACGAAATCAGGGCGAACCCCTGCTCCAGGCAGTGCAGGTGCTAAAGCAAGGGGAAAGGAGATATCGGAGGCTTTCCTCACCTCTTGATGTTGCCAAACATCTGAGCATGGCCCAGAAACCTGCCGAAGTCGATGTGAAACATGTGGCCAGTGGTTTTGAGCATGATGTTGTCATTGTGCCGATCGCAGATGCCCAGCACGTACGTAGCCACGCAGCAGCCCGCACAGGAGTAGATGAAGTTCTCCACAGCCTGAGAGAGCAAAGAGGAGACGGAGTGGAAAAGGAGAAAGGCTGGACAGCCCCGTGCTGGGCGCAGGGCTGTGTCGGTCCCGTCGTGTTGGGAAGTGATGTGCCTTGTCCTTGGAAAGGGGGCGTGAAGAGCAGGGACCCTGCCACGCTCCTCCTCACCTTCTCGTCCTCGTCCTCCCCAGGGTTGTGTTTCTGCAGCCAGTCTGCCAGCGGGCGGTCTTTGAAGGAGCCCGTCACACCATGCTCCACCTGGATTTTGCGCAGGGTCTCAGCGTTGGGGATCATCTCCACCATGCCTGGCAGCCGAGACAGCAGGGTGAGACCCATCCTTCCAGCTTGGGGCAACGCAGAGACCCCGGCCCCATTCACCACCGAGCCGCCCCCGCCCGGCCCCATTCACCACCGAGCTGGCTGCTCCCCAGCTGTCACCGTTGGGTGGAAGTCCACAAAGCCAAGCTCCTACAGGCGGACTGGCAGGATCAACCCCCAAAAGGGGATCACACCTGCCTGCAGGAGCTGGGGCCCTCCTAGGCTATCACCAACCCGGGAGCATCACAACCCCGGGGACCGCCGGCCCCTGGGGATGCCCTGAAGTTGGGTTACCTCGGCCGCGGCCCGTGGAGAAGCAGCGGAAGATGACCATGCGCATGTCCAGCCCCTCCTGCACCCAGATCTTGTTCATAATGCGGATCATCTGCAGCGTCAGCATGTCCTGCCGCAGGTCGTCTCCGCACTGTGAACCGCCGGGGGGGACAGATCAGACCCTGGCGATGCCGGGCCAAAAGCGGAGGCGGGCCTGCAGAG